AAGGGAAAAGGGAAGAGAAGGGAAAAGGGAAAATTCTTTGGAGGTAACCAAGAACTGTCGCCAGACAGGTATTGGCTGAGAGCACTCGTGTTCTCAGTCACAGAGTTTTATAGAGGCCTACAGGTAAATTTGATCATGTGTCTATGAAAGATATAATGAAAAAATACACAGAAAGACTCTGGATGGCAGTAATTTTGTTAGGGGTTGCAACTCAGTGCATTTTACCATTCATTTCTTATGCATTTATTCAGCATTTTACTGTATATTAGCATTCATTCAAATAATGGTTAATAAGCCTTTAAATGACTATTTCGGAAGCAAGGGACAAAGTATACTTGACGGATTTTACTGAGGCTATAACTCTGCTATAAGACTGCTTCATACGTACAACGTGCTCAGTGTGGTGCCAGCACTGCCGCTAACGCCTGCCAGCCACGGTCCCTTGAGCCTTAGGCCCTATTTCCTCGTAGTGGATCAGCTACCACATTCATGTTGCATGAAATCTCCTGAGTTCCTTGGCTGGCTGCACGAACACAGTTGAAGTCTCCATCACACAGAAAGCCCAACCATATAATCCTAATGATCCCATCTCGTCTTGAAATGCACAACAACATGGTAAAGGAATAAAACGTATCAGGCATCAAAGTTAGACGTGTTTCCCAAATAAAGAATGGGTTGTCATTTTACTGTTTTAAAATCTAAGGCAGAATAACCTCCCATAGGGATAGCTATGCTCTCTCATGTTTCTGTTATGTCTGTTTCCAGGTGGTGTCATAGTTTGGATTTCATAATTTATCCTAAGAACCCAGAGTGTAAATATCAGTCAATATAATGAGATTAAGGCAAGAAAGAACAGGCAGGACACGCTGTGTGCCTGTGGGTTTGTATCCAAATTTGTAACTGCCAAACCTGCCTTGACTCAAGTACAGCACAAAAGCTGCCTATGCTGCTTAGAAGTCTGAAACGAGTGCAGCTGGTCTGCCCTGCCAAAGAAACGGGCAGGTGGCTTCTCTTTATGTAAAATACTTTTCCTGAAGACAAAATGCAACAATAGTTGGCAGCTTTCACTGAAGAACAAGAAAAGGTCCAACGATGCCTAAATAGATGGAAGTACATGTTGCTCGTGCAGTAATCATTAATTCTGAAGTTTGTCTTGACTTCAAACTTCTGTCAAGAAGAGAAGATTATAGAAAAAAATCAAAAACCAGGAGGGCTACAAAGCAGACGGGTACAGTGCAAGTTTAGGAAGGAGTGCCAAAGGAAAGGGTTACGTGATCTATGGCATGGATTTCAATATATGGGAAGAACAGTAAGAGCAGGAAAGTTTCCAAAGAACAAGTGGCAGTCAGACACTTTCTAAACAAGACTAAAGGTCAATCACTCAATTGCCATGTGTGAGTTTGAAAAATCCCTAACACTTTCAGTCTGCGTTATTAATTAGAAAGGGGAGAGAGAGAGGTAGGAGGGAAAATTAATAGAATCAAAAATGTTTGGTACCAAAACTGGATGGAAAGAGACAACACAAGATGTAACTGTTCCCTGAGATTGAGCTCTAATGCGCAGCTCTCCCTAAAGTTGTTGGAAGCAGATGGGCTCCCACAGCTGCATCCTTCTGGTTTGCACTACAGAGATGTATGTTTTTCCTCTCACCAGAGCTCCTGGGGAAGGTCCTCATCATAAGGGATTCCCTGGAGCACAAGAACCCGAGAACCAAGGGTGAGAACACAGACCTGAGAGGGGAAAACGAGAACCTCAATGCTTGACAAGACAGAAGCAGCAAAGAGGACAATGGTGTTCAAGTCCAGGAGGTGGAAGCTCCTTTTTTTGCAGACAGCTTGTGTAAGCGCAGGAAGGAGAGAGATTAGCAGGGCTGCAGTAGGTAGAGGGGTTTCATTCGGGATGTGTTCTATTGAACACACGCTGCTGGCACTGCTCTTAGGACAGATGGAAGGGGGCTTATCTAGACTAGAAGAGGAGAAATTCATTTGACCACCATACTGGTACACATTATTTCACTATTCTTAATCTATGCAGAACCTAGGCTATTACGGAAAATTACAACCTAAATACATTTTCAGTCATAGCTCAAGCTACTTTTCTTTAGTAGAAAAAATACTTAATTTCCCGTTTTAAATTTCATCACCTTTTCCTCTTAAATCTTGCAACTGTCAACCATCGGAAACACTACATGCTTTTTAATTATGATGATGAAATAAAAATCCTTTTGCTTCTCAACAATGGCTTGAGATAATTTTGTTAATTTTGATAACAGTTTCCTACTGACTTGGGATCTTTATTATACAGCTGAGGCAACTGATCGCAATATACTTTCTAAGGATCATTATTGTGTCAGTTTGAGTCAATTCAGCTGCTGTTTGAAATGCACAGCATACCTCTATCATTTAATATTTTATTTCAAATTGCCTTACTTTTTATTATTTGTCAAACTGTTTTTCTTGTGTAAGCACTAAATGTACTTATAAAATTCAAGATGCTGACCTGGATATATTTTTCATTGTAAGTTCAGTTGTAAATTAAATGTAATAATTATTCTAAAATAAAAAACTATTTTTCAGAAAGAAGGAGCTTCCTACATAAAATCATCTGTCCATAGACTCCCTATGAAATATGTTCTCAGATTTCCTTGTAATATTAATCTTGCAGAGGGAATTCAGATGTTTTTATGATAAAAAATAGCAAATCTACAGTGACAATTAAATGGTGATTTTCTTTAAAATCTTCTCTAGCTAATCTGATTTTAGAAGACTCTGAAGCACATTTCCAGTTTTAAACATCTTAACGTATCACAGCCACTCCAACTGTGCCTGTGAATACACAGAAGTACAATTCATGCAGAAATAAAACAGAGGGATCCACATAATATTCCCATCTCTGCCACCACACATGGAGGGGACTAAGATAAGTCACATCATCTCCTAATGCCTCGGTTGCCCCATCAGTAAAGCAATCTATAGTGGTAAAGGCCGACTATGTACAAAGAATTTGAAAACAGTGATTTATTTGTTTTATTTATTTATTTTTTAGATCTTTCCTTAAATCAGTGTAATTCCAGGTTCAGACCTACAAAGGCCGACTATGTACAAAGACAAAGAATTTGAAAACAGTGATTTATGTTTTTATTTATTTATTTTTTAGATCTTTACTTAAATCAGTGTAATTCCAGGTTCAGACCTAGAATTTGCAGTGAAACACGGAGAGGCTGAGATCTTAGTGAACGACTCACACGTGTTCCCCATATACTGCCTACAGATACATTTGGATGTTCCAGAACCGCATATGGTTTTTCTTTTTTTTTCCCCCCTGCTTCATTTTTGAAAATGCGGGTGCCATTTATAGGTATAAATACATGCACTCGCACACCATTTATATCTTAATAGTAAAAGGCTCAGCTATTCCACATTTGTCACACTGTTATTTCAAAGTATCTTGTATTTAAATACAGGAGATACTACAGTTGCTGCAGGCTCCTGACTTTTGAATGTGGCGTTCTTAAGGCAACCACTGCTCGCACGGCAAAGTATGTTTTCTGACATGAAGCACATACATTTGTACTTACACACACATACTCGTCAAGAATAGTGTCTCCCAAAATCAAGGAGGCTGTATGTAACTGGTAAGTAAAATGAAACTATTCTAATTTACATAAATAAGCACTGTAGAGCAGACTTGGGTACAGTACCTAACCATGCAGTTACAACAGGAAAGCTCAGACACTCCTCAGTGATTTCTACCTCTGACATCCAAATACAGACCAAGACACTTAAACCCTGTTTCCAGCCCTTTATTCCACTATAATTCATCGTTCCGTATCTCTAAAACGAACACTCACAAAGTATAACACAACATTCTAAGGCTCTCATTAATTACTCGTACCCATCTTGACATTACCTACAGATTTACAAACAATACCTTCAGGAATATATCCTCAAACACAGGTAAAGGTGCTCTATGAACTGAGTAAGCACCAGTGGGATACAGTAGGAGGAACACATCCCAGAAGGGACATAAGTGTTGACACATGGCTTTCATGGATTTTGTGCATAAGTTAATCTACATGTTGTTCTTTTTGCATCATGTCCCATCAGAATTACAGCAAGTAATTAATGAGATTGGCCGGAATCTCTTTACAGTTTCTCTGTTAAAGAACACCTCAATTATTAATGTTTTGATGAGTTTTCCATCCAGTGCTTTTGATTTCAAAACAGAAGTAGAAAATAGACTGAAATACTTCTTTTGCAGAAGGACATAAAAACATACTTTAACTTTCTCCTCCCTTTTTTTTCTCTTTTTTAAATAAATCCACTGTGATGCTTGAAGAGCCCATCTTTCAAATATCCTTTCCTTCAATGCATGACATGTTTTTTCACTCGGTGGTTTAAAGCCAAGCATGTATCTGTTTGTATGTATCTATGTTTGTGTCTGAAGGGACAAATCTTACTACTAAGTGATATAGAACTTTCAAATCCCTGAGTGACCGGTGTCAATAAAGAGTTACAAGAAGCATCTTATAAAGCTTCTCTGCAAAGCGGGCAGACTCCCAGGTAAGCAGACACAAATCTATTTCAGTGCATTCTAGAAGTATATCCAAAAGCACATTTTTAGCTTCAATACGCCAAATTTAAAACCTGGCTGTAACTCTCTCTTCCTCACCTGGACAGCTGAGCATAATCAAACAGCTTCAGGTGTATCCTAACAGCATATGTTTACATGTACTCCCTCTCCCACAGCTCTACCTTTCTCAGGTCAAGTAGCCAGTGCTTACCTCAATGGTGTACTGCTCAAAAATCCGGAGCTGAAGGAAAATGTCTAGCTTAATCTTTCTCTCGTGGAAGAGCTCTTCCATCTGTACCTGGGCCTCGTCGAGCTGCTGAAGGACAGATTCAATGTGGCTGATGGAGCTGTTGTGTGGAGTCTTATTGTTGGAAACAGCGGAGTCCCTGTAGGAAGGCAGAGCGCATGGTTAAAGCGGAGCTTCAAGGCAGGCAAAAGAGCAGGAACTACACATTTGTGATTCTGCGTGCTGCTGAGGAGCAAACCCAAGCACAAAGGGCTGAGGGAAGCTGTATGCTACAGTAAACTCTTCTACTCGCTGAAATCCTGCAGCTCCTGAGCTCGGCACAAAGTTTGAACAAGGGGATCATCCTTTCTCGTGTCGTGACACCGCGACCTTACACACTTGGGAAGGGGAGGAGAATGGCACATCAATCTCAATGTCTCTCTTGAGGAGGCTGGCTGGCGATCCCCTTGAATCCTACAGAGCATTCTGCTCCAGCCTACATTCACACCAAGTTAAGAGATGCTATTTAGCCACCTGGACCTTTACAAGTTAATTTTGTGCATTTTCTTTATTATTTACAGACTAATTGAATCAGAATTACCAGCATTTTAGACCAAGGGGCAGGGTTGTCTTGATTTCCTCTGGATTAAGTAGTAACAGCAATAGATGCAGAACGCTGTGCAAAAAACTCCACTGAAGGCAAACACCTTTCAAACACTGTAAGACAGACTCTCACTTGTCTTTTCACTAGGGTAAGTGAAATAAGACATGCCTGTGACAGGTCAGATACTGCTCCATCTACACCTTTCATATACAGGCAGCAGGAGGGAGCTAGCCCTTTAACTGGTGGGCGAGTACCACGGGGAAGTTTGCTGTACCTGAAAGAAGTCTTTAAGACAGTCCTGACAGTTTCTTTTCTATTTGTGCTCTCACATATATTAATAGGCTCACCTACAGTCTGTTACATCTTCAGTAAGTTTTTTTGATGCGTATTTTATGGATAAATAGCCTTTGCAGACACAAAGAGCTGAAATTTATCCTCAAATATGCCACAAAAGGTCCCCTAACTTTAACAAGAACCAGAAAGGAAACTTTGAAGCCATAATTCAATCTTGGCTTTGGTACTTCAACTAAAACAAGATTTAGATGCAATGGTTTTCTCCATCCATCCTGCTCAAAGGTGGTGATAGCAGCTGCATTATTTGGCATACTTAAACCAAGCCAACTGAAACCCCTATTAAATACTCTGTTGGAAAGATCTGTGCACTGGCAGGGTAACAGGATGAAGTGAGTAAGCCAGCAGGTCTTATCATCAATATTTCCTACTAATGCCCAGTTCTGACTTGGAGAAAGTCGGGGACACACACACACACACAATTACAAAGCCAACAGCACATACTGGACCAACAAGCTCTTGTGTACCAAGAAGGCAGGAGGCAGTTCCCATGTGTGT